TTTTATGGTGAAATATAGAAATATTTTTGTACTCCGGCCTCAGGGGGGTGGGGGGGCCTGCTTTTTTTTGTAGTAGCAGAGGGCGCAGCCTCGCAGCACAGAAGCGTGGGAAAGACAATGTGATTTTTTTTTTTAAGCTGCCTACCTTGAAGGTATAAAAAAAGCATCACCTCGCCCATGGAGGTCATTTAAAGGGACCGGCTGGAGGTCTTTTTAAGGGACTTGCTGCAAAATAAATATGACCTCTGCACTTTTCACATTCTATTCCTAACCGCAGGGAGAGAAAGTTAAAAGACAAAAGGTGCTACTGACACAAACCTGTCCTACGCAGATGCAGAGACATGGCATCCTTCAGTATCCTCCTTGTATTTACATTGTATCACTCTCATTGCTACCAACCAGCCATTGTATCCAAAAAGTAACCACTAACCATACATTGTCGTTATAGAATATCTTTCATAGAATATATCCTCAGAATTCCCACAATCTTTTGCCTTTCCAGTCAGGTACCAACCCTGATGAAGGAAGCAACACCCCCCCCCGGAATGTGTTGTCTTTTTCTCACATTTCGTACATAAGGAGGATACTGAAGGATGTCATGCTTCTGCGTAGGCACATTTGTGTAGGGCTGCAACAACTAATCGACATAATCGATTATAATCGATGATTTTTCAATCATCGATTAATTGGCTTCCGATTGGTTGGCCCTGTTCACGGCTCCACACAGCTGCGCGCCACACCTCCTCCCCACCTCACGCTCGCGACTGCCAGATCCGCCCGCATCCATGCTCCACACCTCCTCCCCGCCTCACGCTCACCGCCCGCCTAAATCCACGATCGGCACAGGGACGGGGAGATGTAGTAAGGAGGAGCAGGTGTGGGCGGATGACAGCAGCCGATAGACAGGCCCGATCTCAGAAACAAGTTGCTGGAAGAACGGTTAGGTAAGCGTGCCATTGCTGGGTGTTGTAGTCCTCTATAGCTGGAGGTATTCTGCATTGCGCTGTATAATGTATTGCTGGGATTTGTAGTTCTCTATAGCCGGTGCCATTCTGCATTCATTGCTGTATAATTTTACACTTTTCATTTCACTATATTGCACACCACACTTTTTGTTTTTCTTTTTTTCTTCCACCGCTCCAAGCTTGCTCCTGTGATGGACTGCAATCTCGAAACAAACTAGTAGTCCATCACTGGAGCAATTTTTAATTATTTTTTTTTATATCCGATTAACCAATTAATCGAACTTAATAATCGGCTAACTAATCGATTTTGAAAATAATCGTTAGCTGCAGCTCTACATTTGTGTCAGTAGAACCTTTTTGTCTTTAACTTTTTCTCCCCTCGGTTAGGAATAGAATGTGAGAAGTGCAGCGGTGACCTCCAGCCAGTCCCTTTAAATCAGGGGTGCCCATTAGGTAGATGGTGATCTAGCAGTAGCTCTCAGAGCTGATGCTGGTAGATCAGGAAGGGGGGGGAACGGCGGCCCCTTTATTCCATTTTGGTTTATTTATTTAGCTGTGCACACATGATTACCTATTAGCCCGAGTCTGCTGAGCCGAGCTCCCCGACACCTTTCTGGTGGATACTGGTGGTTGTAGTACTATGTATTACATCAAAGAATATTAGTGTACACAGCCTGTTGCACTACACTGTCTGCAAAATACAGCAAGGTGAGCCAGGAGAGAGAGCGGGGAGAGACAGACAGGGGAGAGAGTGTGAGGAGAGACAGCCAGGGAAGAGAGCAAGGAGAGACAGTCAAGAGAGCGAAGAGAGACAGCCAGGAGAGAAAACGAGGAATGACATCCAGGAGAGAGAGAGAGCAAGGAAAGACAGCCAGGAGGATGAGCAAGGAGAGACAGCCAGGAGAGAGAGGAAAGACAGCCAGGAGAGAGAGCAAAGACAGCCGGGAGAGAGAGGAAAGACAGCCAGGAGGATGAGCAAGGAGAGACGGCCAGGAGAGAGAGGAGAGACAGCCAGGAGGATGAGCAAGGAGAGACGGCCAGGAGAGAGAGGAGAGACAGCCAGGAGAGAGAGGAAAGACAGCCAGGAGAGAGAGCAAAGACAGCCGGGAGAGAGAGGAAAGACAGCCAGGAGGATGAGCAAGGAGAGACAGCCAGGAGGATGAGCAAGGAGAGACAGCCAGGAGAGTGAGGGAGTTTTTTTTTCGTTGGTAGATCTCATGTAGCTCATCATTTGAAAAGTAGATCTTAACACAACAAATTGTGGGCGCGCCTGCTTTAAATGCCCTCCATTGGCGAGGTAAACAATTACTGTGACACAAACATAAATCTGAACCTTCAAAACAACAAATCCCATTATGCTTCTGCCACTGGGAGCCATGCCTGTTAATGTCATAGTCCCGCAATGCTTTATGGGATGTGTAGTTCTACAACAGCTGAAGGGCTGAGGTTGCCTACCCCTGGGGTAGGATGACGAGGATAGGGACAAATCATGTAGCTGAAGGTTCATCTTAAACAGGAATTATGAACAACCTGGATCCAATACGCCATCACAAGCAGCACAGAGGCGATCACACGAAACCAGAATGAAAGGACAGAAAAGTTTCTGAGCCAGTTGCTAATTGCGACAGAACCCGCCTCCATATCAACCAATTTATGACGTCGCCCATGTTTGGCGGCCCTAGAGAATGCTGACATGGCGGTTCTGCCGTTGAAAACACAGCTGCAGTACAGGCGCTACGTAAAACAAGTCCACATACCAAACATGTTTCAGCCAGAACAAAGTGTTTCATTGGGGGAATGGAAGCTGGTTTAGGGCAAGACATGTCACACTGTTTCTGTGTCACACCAGGTGTCTGTAAGCCTTCAATACTGACAGCCGAACTGCTTAGGGGTAAAACTGCGCCCTTAACCCTTCCATGACTTCAGTGACAACCTACCTACTGCCACAATCTCTTCTGTCCATACTGAACGCAGGTGACAGACCAATTGTCCTCTATCATTATTGCACTCTGCTGCCCGTTGCCAATCTCTGCACTGACTGCTGAAACTCCCTCAGAAATATTCCTTATAAAGACTGGCAGGTATGAGATTAGGTCATAACTGCTATGGTCCTGCTTCAAGGAAATCTAAAGCCATGTTTTATATATAGTATATAGAGTATAGAAGGGTTTGAACCCCTGTCATGTTTTTTTTTAAATTGCTGGAGCGTGTGTGACTGAGTCGCTGGACTCGACTCATCCAATAGCTATGGCCAAATAAGGTGAATCAAATTCACATTTTGGATGCAATCGATAATACGAAATCACCTGCACTCCATACAGCGTACAGATCGCCATAGCAACCCAGCAGAGCCCACTATAGAGAGTCTATGGTGGGCTCTGTAGGGTCACTCTCAGGTGGGCTGTTTGGTATATCACGTGGGCTCTGCAAGTGGCATAACTAGCAATCACGGGGCCACATACAAAAGTTTGCTATGGGGCCCTGTGATTTCTAGTTACGCCCCTGGTACAGACCTTGGATGAAAAGTTGGTGCTTGAAGTGACAACACGGATGGCGCCGCGTCAGATATTGTCCATAATAGAAGTCACCAAAAGAAGGGACCCTGCGTGGCCCCGAAACGTTGGCTGTATGACGCATGTGACAATTTAATAAAAAGTGCTTTACTTATATTATCGAGTGCTGGTGACTTCTATTAGCCCTCGTTCACACCTGAGGAGTTTTGTAGCGCATTCTACGCTCGACGAACGCTCTACAAAATGCTCAAAAATATAAATCCCATTGTATTCAATGGTCTCGTTCCCACCTCGGCGTATTTCTGACCGTCCCTAACGCGCTACAAAACGGCCCACGCCTGAAAAGGTACAGGTACTACTTTGGGCCGTTTTGTTGCGCGTTTCCATTGGGATACACAGAAACAGGAACCATACCGCACTCCTTACCGGGATTCCCACTTGATGAAGATGGGTGGTCGAAATGACTGCGGATGGCACCGCCACACATGAACAGTAGAAAAATGTCACCAGCACACCATGAGTTGAAAAAGCAAAATATTTTATTGCCAATAGCTGTATCTCATTGGCAAGCGCTTTCGGGACCTCGCAGGGTCCCCTTCATCAGGCTTAGAGATTGGGATACAGCCAAGTAGCCTTCGGATACGCGCGTTTGTCGCGCAACTTTTTTTACCGCAAATCGCAGTTAAAAAAACGCGCGACAGACGCGCATATGCAATACGCCTAGGTGTGAACGAGACCTTATAGTCAAATTCACATAGTGCGCAAGGCTGTGAAGAGAGCCTCAGTGCAAAGAACAAAGGATGCAAACTTTAACAAAATAAAACCATCCAACGCATTTCGGGGCTACAAAGGTCTCCCCTCTTCTTCAGGACTATAAAATAACAGTGTTTTACATACATGGATACAGGTACTCCTAAGAACAAGCTCATACACGGACTCATACACACGCACTCACCAGCAGAACCATATGCATACACGCAATAGGTTGAACTTGATGGACTTGTGTCTTTCTTCAACCTCAAATACTGTGCAACTATGTAAAACAAACACAGAACTGCTACACAAATGTTTGTAGGAACACAGAATACTACACTCAATCTATTGTGTTAAAGTTCATTAAAATTCATTACCAACCCCCATTAGAAACAAATAAAAATATTCTTCGAAAAGGTTTGACAAATATTTTACTATGATTCATTTTTTTCACACGTGTATGAACTTTAGATATTGGAATTTGAATGTAACTGACTGAATGTAGGATTCTGTGCTTCTATTTGTGTATCAATTTCATGTTTTGTAGCTCTGAAGAAGGGGGGAGATGTCCCATTGTATCACCCCCCGAAACATGAGCTCCCTCACTTTTCTAGTACAGTAGAGGAAGTAGAGGGAAGGAACTGAGCCCGGGACTCCAATGACCCCAACAACTATAAATAAATAAACCGCATCCAGCAGAGAGGTGAGAGAACATACCGTGCATCTGATACGTGTACGGAGCTTGTCCCGGCGGGGGCGTACTGAAACTCGAACTGTAGCTGAGGAAACCGCTTTGTCCCGGGGAATGGCTCAAACTGTCCTCTGTCTTGATACCTGAAAAACAAAAAAGAGGGTGACATAAAAAAGGTGGCCCCGTGTGACCCTCTAACCTATATGTACAGCCAGAGGTGTCAGCGTGACGGGGATATGTGCTACAAGTCATACAGTGCAACGAATGACAGCCCTGACTGTCTGCATTGCTGCCCATGCATTTTACAAACTCTGTACAGCCATCTTTAAACTGTTGTGATGTTCCTGATTGGTAATAATCTGAAGTCTTACCCTGACACATTACTTAGTATCATGCTATACTTATTATGAAAACATATACCCGATGACAGGTCCACATTAACAACTATTCTGCACTAACTATATAACGGAAAATTGTATACTTACCTTCCGTAATTTTCCTTTCCTGGTGCACCGAAGGCAGCACACCATGGGTTAAGGTCCGCCCCTCTTAAAGGAGAACTATGGGGTCAGTGCTTTTCCCCATAGTTCTCCTTAGGGTAACGGGAGGACACAAATAATAATTTATTAACGGTCAGAGCAACCAGAAACAAAGTATGAGGATGGCTTGGAGGAGCCTTAATTTATCACGTGTCCTGTGGGTTAAGAGGGGCGGACCTTAACCCATGGTGTGCTGCCAAGATGCTCCAGGAAAACTATATAAGCAATGGCATGGGTCACATGACATATTAACTGCCATTGTCCTAGGTCTATAATTTGTTGCTAATTTGTTGCTGGATACAGAAAACCAAAAACTGAAACATACATGATTAACTGGACCTGATATGCACACAATGCTACAAGTGCTTTGTAATGATATAAATAGAAGGAACCTGGAATAACCCATTAACATTGAAGGGCATTTATTTGCAGCAATCTTCACTCCTTCCCGCTACAGGAATTTCTCACCACGGAAATCATAATTCATTTCTACGGAATTGCTAATTTTTCAGTGATTTGTAACTAAGTTGATCAGCGATTACCGTTTGGCAGCATTTTATGATGCCAAGATCGCCAATTACTTTTCATTCACCTCTATGGGCTTAGCTACAATTTGTACAATACTGTTGCAGCGGATTATTATTATTATTATTATACAGGATTTATAGAGCGCCAACAGTGTGCGCAGCACTTTACAATATAAGGAAGACATTACAATCACCATACAATTCAAGACAAGATGGTAAGGAGGGCTCGGCCCCTGAGGGCTTACAATCTAAAAGGGAGGGGGAAGTGATACATGAGGAGGTAGCTGTGTGGGGATGAATGGTTTGATAACGTGATGGTTCAGGGGTTAGGTTGAGTTGGGATTATCTTCTAACAGCGTCAAGTTCTTTCTCAATGACAAAACGCCAGCGACTTCAGTGATCGAATCGCTAGCTACAAATTGATGTCAATGGCTGGACTTTTGTAGCAGTGATTAATCGTTGCTACCCGTCTGACGCGGCCCTCTGTCACAGTGTAGCTTAATATGATCCTGTTGATCTCCCGGGGGAAGCGAACAGAAACACAGAGTCAGCACAACTGTATACTGTTTCTTGTCCATCAACATAAAGGATTCCAAGAAATCAGCCCTGCAGCTCAGCATGTAAAGAGAAGAGAGGCAATTGTATCAGTAGAGCCGGGCCCGAGCAGTCCATGCTTACTTCCAACACACTGAAAACACAAGCTTTTTATTATGTGGGTGCGAGACTTTGAATTTTCTTTTAACATGAGAGAAGATTCTATACTATGCTGGTGCACTTTGCCATCTAGTTAATGATTAAACCCCAAGATTTGTCCTATTGGGAAGACTTGACTTAACTTCCAGTCTTGGAGTCAGAACAGGAAGCGAGAAGAAATCTTATCAAAGTGAGGGAAATCCTTTCTAAAGCCGGGAATACATGCTTTGAATTTTGTCCGGTTCTTGATGAACCGCAATAAAATCTGTGGGTGCCACCGTGGGCACTTTCCCAACTGGCATCTCTCGAACAGCTGAGCATGTTGGAAAAAATGTCAGCCAAACAGAGCTAGCAACCAATGAGCTGCCAGCTCTGATTAGCTATTCTGACAGTGGCCGCCGTTCGCTGTCAGAATACAAAAGGAAACAGCAGGAGATTCCTCGATCAATGCTCGTTGATGGAGGAATCTGTTCTATTTTCTTCACTCAGCTGGCAGGTTGAAGGAAGAAAATAAAAGCGTGTATTCCCGACTTTAGAAAGTTGTCTCCAGAACAGGTGCCCCCCCTCTATTCCTGTTTTGCTGACAACTTTAAAATGTTTGATCTCCCATCACTTTCTGTCTCGGTGACAGTGGTCACCAGGACAAACAGAGGGGTGACTCTCCCCAGCGAGGACACCAATGGGGATAAAAACCCCAAAAAGGTTCTAAACCTTTCTTACTCTATTCAAAATGAGATACAAATGTGGCTTTGGATACATTTTAACAGCAGAATGTTTCTTTTGCAATTGTTTCAACTCTTCTTGGAAGAAGTATAAAGTAGAACAATAGATCTGCAATGTCTATGGAGAGGCAGCGGTTGATTCCAATTAAAGAAAAGGCAATCAGCAACCACATGTAATTCCCCAACAAAGCCGTGTTTTGTCTGGGTGGACGGGCTGAATTTATGCCGCTCCCCATAAACAAGAACACCTCATTGTTCTGTATTAGGGGCCAGGTGGGGACTCTGAGCGCTAGCCCTGATAGGTGATCTGCAGGATTTATAAGCAACATATGGAAGTGGCATGTGGCCGCCCTACAGACACAATTCAGTAGCAAATGGCTGCGCTTTCACCTGCTCTGCCAGAACAACTGTTAGGTATTTTCTCTGGAAACTTTCCAGCCCCCGAAACGCGCTGTAAAACAACCCCCCAAAAAAGGATTTGTCTGCCTCAGTTCTACGAGGAAGGGTTTGGACGGGAGTGGTGATGGATCTTAGGGACTGATGATGTGGAGAACTATAGATTTAGTGGTGTTTGTATAGCCGTAGGGCTGCTTCTAAATCAGGTTTACCCTCTACTCAATGGGGGACCTTGATAGTTGATAGCCAATGCGTTGCGGGGGTACTATAATCCCCCGTTGTAAAAGCCTAAAAAAGAAGAGGGACTGACCCAACAGTACAGCTGCTGCAGCAAATGTCTTGGTGCATGTCTGCATTTCTGTAAATATAAGTCTAAATTCAGTTCTGGCTTCAAGGTCCTGGTTCCGAGCTTGGTACGTTGTTGCATATTATGCTCAAGAGGTAAGTGCTGCCCATAGACCAGCTGAAATATCCATTAAATCCAGTGCAGCCACAGACGTCAACAAATGCCAGGCGCTTAGGTGAAAGGATTGATGGCACCATCATTGTAATTAGAGGTGCACCGAAATGGAAATTTTAAAACCAAAACGAAACAGAAATAAAAAAAATTGTCAGGCCGAAACCGATACCGAAAATGTTTTTTATTTTAGTTTTTTCAAATTTTTTAAATATTTTTTTTTTTAACTTGTAATTTTTTTTTTTTACTTTTAGGGGCTTCAGGGAAATATTGGGGGTCTAAGACCCCTGATATTTCCCTTTTAAAATAGAAAAAGAAATTGAGGACACAAAGTCCTCAATCTCTTTTTCTGTATCCCCTGTTATCAATGAAGAGGAATCCTCTATACTGAGTATTCCTGATCATTGATAACATGAGGACGGAGTATGGTTACTATATCCACAATCATGAATAAACAGGAAGTGATGTAGATGTGATATAGATCACTTCCCATTCATTCATAATTGGGGATATAGTAACCATACTCTGTCCTCAATTATCTACAAACACTCAGCGATCACTGATCACCGACTGCTTGTATCCGCTCTCCGCTCTGACACACTGTCACAGGAGGCTGAGTGAGTGCTGCGTGAGGAGAGCTCCGCCTCCTGTGACAGCGCGGCCTGTCTCCGCCCAAACACCGCTCTGTTGGACTGTGATAGGAGGCTGAGCGGTGTGGGAGGAGACGCCGTCCGCTCCCGCAGCGCTCGGCCAATTATCACAGTTTCCTTCCTCCCCGCTGGGACACAGAGCAGCGCCCAGCGGGGAGGAAAGAAAGAATGGATGCGCCGCTGTATCGGCAGGAAAATTGCACTTTCGGCATTATGCCAAAAGTGCAATTTTCGGCCGATAAGTTTCGGCGGCCGATATATGGTGCATCCCTAATTGTAATAGTCCAAAATGTAAAGTGGTGACTGCTGTCTAACAAAGGGGTCACCGGTGGCCCTGAAATGTTTCGTTATGTGGTTGGCGAATACATATTATTTTTGTACTGCTGGGGATACTTTACATTTTGCCCTAAAACTAGCATTGGATCTGGGAGTCGGCCAATGGCAGCTTCCAGGATTGTGTAGGAACCTTGGCCAGTCATGACAAAGGTTAAGCAACACTGAACACGTGGTCAACTACATCATCATCTCATATTTCATATACCGGAGAGGACTCTAGGCTGATAATAGGGGAGCTTTAAATGCTACTTTAATGAATAATGTGGCGCTATAGGGAAAGTATTGTCTATCCTGCCGCAAAGGCTTTGCTACTGAGACTGCGTGTTTGCACTCCTGTATATAAAGTACAATGATGTATGTTGTTCAGGATGGAAATAAAATGACATTAAATGGCAAATAGAAATATTAGGTGACAAGGAATGGAAAGGCTTCTCCAGCTGACAGCCATCTCCGCCGTGGCCTGCACAGTGTATTCCTGGTGTGGCTCTGTAACGCGGCCTCTTCCTGCAATTCTAACGCTCTTTAGATGTGTGTGAGATTTGGCTGTAACATTTAGAACCCGCAGAGAGCCGCCAGGGATGAAAGCTGCACTTCCCCTTGGCAAATCGCTCTGCTCAGATACCAAACATTGTTGCTGGTCAGTGAAATGCAAGATTCCGTCCTCTGACCTGGATTTCTAAAACCGCATATGTGCTCGGCGTGTATGTATGGGTGGGAAGCCTTCTGAGGGGCTGTGAAGCTGCTTCAAGGGTATAGAGGGAGATCCAATGACATTAAGGTAGCAGGCATTGACATTCTATGTCCCAAACTGTTCTCTGTACAACACTGCGGTATATGTCAGAGCTATATAAATGTATAATAATAGTGTGTGACTGTGAGGGGACATTAGAGTGTAAGCTAGTCTGTACAGAGACTGATGCGACTGTGGGGGGACATTAGAGTGTAAGCTCCTCTGTACAGAGACTGATGTAACTGTGGGGGGACATTAGAGTGTAATTTGACTGGCTCAGTGTTCCCTGTACAGCACAGCGGTATATGTCAGAGATCTATACCATTATAAATAAAACATATATAACAAATAGCAGATACACAAGAGACTGCAGTGGTCATGTAGTCGGTAACGTACTGTATGAGGGGATGCCATAGGCTTGCGCTGGTGGAGGGTACGTGGAGTATGCCGTTGCCTGTTGTATTCCTGTGCTGTACTGTGTCTGTCCATAGGTGGCCATCGCTGGGATGGACGGAGGAGACACGATGTGGGGGTAGTGCCTGGAGGGACAGAGAGAATACAATGTAACACAAATATCTATCAGAGTATAACCTCAATCACAAGAAAGAAAAGTCAGAGAACTATAACAGCAGCCAATCATATTGTCCCAGAATCCTCTTCCACCATAGATAGATAGGAACCCAAGCCCAGCATCCTGTGAGGATTGTGTTAGTGTCCCCATTGGAGAGATTTTTATGCTACTTCCTGTATTACTCCCTCTAGTCATTGGGAAAGGAAGGAATAGAAATCTAACCAACAACTAATACCAAACAACTAATCCCCCCACACTATCCAACCATAACCAATGAAAGGTTTTGGCTGGGGCCGCGCTTTAAAATTGCTGTCAGTCATCAGACAGAAATAATTACAACTCAGGGAATGAGTATTGGCATCTGCTGACTTCCAGCGGGATCGTTTGAGGCAGCACAATGCATACGTGTGCCCTCGCAGTGGTGGGATGATGTTCAAATCTAAAAAGAGTCCAAAGTGTTTATAATTTCTCGTTGGGTTTCTGCTGATTTCCTCCAAATTCTCCGGATTCCTCATACAATCCAAAAACCTAGAGCAGCCGTAATTGGCTCCTGACCAACCTGGCCCAGGATAGTGTATGTGGTGCAGAGACTGATGTGACTGGCTCAGTGTTCTCTGTACAGCGCTGCGGTATATGTCAGAGCTATATAAATGTATAATAATAGTGTGTGACTGTGGGGGGGATATTAGAGTGTGAGCTCCTCTGTACAGAGACTGATGTGACTGTGGGGGGAGGGGACATTAGAGTGTAAGCTCCTCTGTACCGAGACTGATGTGACTGTGGGGGGAGGGGACATTAGAGTGTAAGCTCCTCTGTACCGAGACTGATGTGACTGTGGGGGGAGGGGACATTAGAGTGTAAGCTCCTCTGTACCGAGACTGATGTGACTGTGGGGGGAGGGGACATTAGAGTGTAAGCTCCTCTGTACCGAGACTGATGTGACTGTGGGGGGAGGGGACATTAGAGTGTAAGCTCCTCTGTACCGAGACTGATGTGACTGTGGGGGGAGGGGACATTAGAGTGTAAGCTCCTCTGTACCGAGACTGATGTGACTGTGGGGGGAGGGGACATTAGAGTGTAAGCTCCTCTGTACCGAGACTGATGTGACTGTGGGGGGAGGGGACATTAGAGTGTAAGCTCCTCTGTACCGAGACTGATGTGACTGTGGGGGGAGGGGACATTAGAGTGTAAGCTCCTCTGTACCGAGACTGATGTGACTGTGGGGGGAGGGGACATTAGAGTGTAAGCTCCTCTGTACCGAGACTGATGTGACTGTGGGGGGAGGGGACATTAGAGTGTAAGCTCCTCTGTACCGAGACTGATGTGACTGTGGGGGGAGGGGACATTAGAGTGTAAGCTCCTCTGTACCGAGACTGATGTGACTGTGGGGGGAGGGGACATTAGAGTGTAAGCTCCTCTGTACCGAGACTGATGTGACTGTGGGGGGAGGGGACATTAGAGTGTAAGCTCCTCTGTACCGAGACTGATGTGACTGTGGGGGGAGGGGACATTAGAGTGTAAGCTCCTCTGTACCGAGACTGATGTGACTGTGGGGGGAGGGGACATTAGAGTGTAAGCTCCTCTGTACCGAGACTGATGTGACTGTGGGGGGAGGGGACATTAGAGTGTAAGCTCCTCTGTACCGAGACTGATGTGACTGTGGGGGGAGGGGACATTAGAGTGTAAGCTCCTCTGTACCGAGACTGATGTGACTGTGGGGGGAGGGGACATTAGAGTGTAAGCTCCTCTGTACCGAGACTGATGTGACTGTGGGGGGAGGGGACATTAGAGTGTAAGCTCCTCTGTACCGAGACTGATGTGACTGTGGGGGGAGGGGACATTAGAGTGTAAGCTCCTCTGTACCGAGACTGATGTGACTGTGGGGGGAGGGGACATTAGAGTGTAAGCTCCTCTGTACCGAGACTGATGTGACTGTGGGGGGAGGGGACATTAGAGTGTAAGCTCCTCTGTACCGAGACTGATGTGACTGTGGGGGGAGGGGACATTAGAGTGTAAGCTCCTCTGTACCGAGACTGATGTGACTGTGGGGGGAGGGGACATTAGAGTGTAAGCTCCTCTGTACCGAGACTGATGTGACTGTGGGGGGAGGGGACATTAGAGTGTAAGCTCCTCTGTACCGAGACTGATGTGACTGTGGGGGGAGGGGACATTAGAGTGTAAGCTCCTCTGTACCGAGACTGATGTGACTGTGGGGGGAGGGGACATTAGAGTGTAAGCTCCTCTGTACCGAGACTGATGTGACTGTGGGGGGAGGGGACATTAGAGTGTAAGCTCCTCTGTACCGAGACTGATGTGACTGTGGGGGGAGGGGACATTAGAGTGTAAGCTCCTCTGTACCGAGACTGATGTGACTGTGGGGGGAGGGGACATTAGAGTGTAAGCTCCTCTGTACCGAGACTGATGTGACTGTGGGGGGAGGGGACATTAGAGTGTAAGCTCCTCTGTACAGAGACTGACGTGACGGGTTCAGTACAGCATTTCATAACATACTGGTAATATAGATACATAATGAATATTTGTAACACATTGACAAATCGAGCATTGAGACAGATGGGCAATGTTCATTATGACTCTGACCTATAGAACTGTATGACGGATATATGGAGATATTTAAAAACAGCAAACAGGGAAATCATTATGCGTTGCAGCAAATCCTGTAAAGTGTCATTGCAGGGAGTTCTTTAGGAGTCTGGTTATTGTTAGAAGTGGTGCGGCTGCTTGCATGTAATAGACCAACACCCTCAATATCAGCTGATGAAATACATAACAAAGGTGAGTGTTACTTATATGGGACTGGACAGACTGTTACTGGGGCAGAGGAACTCATCTACCTGGTTACCGTAAGGCGGTTAAGAATACTAAACCTCACAGGTGGAGAGACATCCGTCACCTGGAATGATTCATTCTATATATTGGGTGCCCTCTCTAATAATTACGGCTTTGCATGCTGTCCGCCTTGCTGCACTGAAAACAGGATCTTTAGCATTTTCCCCATAACTCGGCTCACCTGGGGTAATTCAAGTCAGGTGCGAATTGCTGGGATTCCTTGCCGCTGCCTGAAGGAGAGAAAACAAATGAGAGGAAAAAAAGATGAAAATGGTTTTCGGCAACACTGAACTCTGCTGCTGTGACTGTGCTGCCGTCTGTCCCACAAAAACTCAAATATGCTTCGGCTGGAAGGACAGCGCAGAGGGTGACAGAAAAAGAAGAAGTTAAATTGCAACTCTGGGCAGAATAACAAGTGACATATATGATGCTGTCTGTCTGTAGCGCTGACACGGCAGGATGTGTGTCCCAGTTTCCCCTGTAACACGATTTTATTATCTGTTGATCCAGATACATTATTTCTTTGACTTGTTTTACCAGACCAAGCTGTCCAGGAATATAGGAGCCAACAGGGTACTGTACATGGCTTCCGGACAACATCACAGCCCCCTGCCTCAGTACTCCTTTCCAAAGCCCTCAGACCTGATGCAAGCAGTGGGCTGACTCTCGGGAGTTATGCAAATATCAAAATGTCACCCCCATTTCCTGTCCTGGTGACAAATGCACCCCCATTCCCTATCCTGGTGACAAATGCGTCCCCCATTCCCTATCCTGGTGACAAATGCGTCCCCCCTTCCCTATCCTGGTGACAAATGCGTCCCCCATTCCCTATCCTGGTGACAAATGCGTCCCCCATTCCCTATCCTGGTGACAAATGCGTCCCCCATTCCCTATCCTGGTGACAAATGCGTCCCCCATTTTCTTTGTGATTAATGTGTCCTTAATTTCCAGTCCTGCTGAAAAATCCTCCCCTTTCCACCCCCATTTCCTGTGCTGGTGTAACAGGTACAAGAATTGAGGAAAAGTCTCCCCATTTTAACTCTTCTCTCCATCCCCAACAAAAATATAAACTAGCGACAGGTCCACTTTAATGCAGCAGGTCGGCTTTCTGAAAGTTTTGAATTGTTATAAAAACTAAAACTAAACACATAACAGGTAAGAACAAGCCGGAGGTTCACCCCAAGAACAAGCCGGAGGTTCACCCCGCGGGCTGTTTTTTTTCCTGAATGTGAGAAGTCCTCTAAGGAAGATCTTTTCCTCGACTTATCTGGAAAAATAATTCAGAGAAAATTAAACTTTGCCCTCGCCGAGAAGGGAAGAAGAAATCGCTTTAATTGCTTATTTGGTTTACAGAGGACGGCTGCCAAGAAAAAGCGCCGAATTCCGACTAATTGGAGCTGAGGTCCCATTCAGACGTAACCCTTTCCAGCGCGCTATAACCGTCATCCGGGAGAGGATGTACGACTTGTTCTTTTACTTCATATATTCTATAGGCTGCTGGTGATCAGTATTAAGCAGTGGAAAACTAGAATTACACTTTACATATTTAAGTTCACCATCTGTAGAAATGTCAGAGAGTGTTGGAGGCTTCTCAAATAATTCTGAATGTTGAAATGTTTTTCTGACGTTTCACATCATGTCAAATTGTACAACTCTGTAGAGAAGTACATAGGAACATCCTCTGGTTGATGTCACTTAGTCCCTTAGCCTACTCCCCCACAAAACTGTATAAGTTTAGTTTCTTTAAAATAAATATTTGTGGACACCTTACCGTCACACCTACACTATATGTTGTCTCCAGTGAAGGTTCTGTTAATAGTACAGCATACAAAGACATTGTAGACAATTGTGCTGCCCTTTCCTTATTGTATCAGTTTGGTGAAGACCCTTTTCTGTCCCACCATGACTGTCCCCTGTGTACAAAGCCAGCTCCATAAAGACATGGTGTGACCAGTTTGGTGAAGACCCTTTTCTGTTCCCCAATGACTGTCCCCCGTGTACAACGCCATCTCCATAAAGACATGGTGTGACCAGTTTGGTGAAGACCCTTTTCTGTTCCACCATGACTGTCCCCCGTGTACAATGCCAGCTCCATAAGGACATGGTGTGACCAGTTTGGTGAAGACCCTTTTCTGTTCCACCATGACTGTCCCCTGTGTACAAATCCAGCTCCATAAAGACATGGGGTGACCAGTTTGGTGTGGAGGAACTCAAGTATCCTGCACAGAGCCCTGCCCTTAACCCTACTGTACATTTTTAAAAGCCTCTTCTTTTCACATCCAACATCGGTACCTGATGTTACAAATGAGCAAAAATTCCTACAGACACCCTCCAAGATTTTTGGGGAAAGTCTTCCCTGATGAGCCACAAAGGGGGCAACTCCATAATAATGGCCACAGGGGGATGGAGAAACACCTTCATATTTATGGTCATGGGGGATGGAGGTACAACTCCATATTAATGGCCAAGTGGGGAAAAGGGGGGCAACTCCATATTATTGCACATGGGGGGACAACTCCATAGTAACAGCCATATTGGGAAGGGGGGGTGGGGGTGCAACTCCATATAAATGCTAATAGTTGGTTTTGGGATGGGAGCTCCAAGAAGCTCATTTGAGTGTCCGCAAACCTTTACCCATACAGCATATTTGAGAACACAACTGGGATAAAGGAATGTTTTAGATATTTTCCGGTACTGTTCTCGGCTGCAGCTGTCTCCTGACCCTGAAAAGAGCAGATCACATACAGAGAATCCCCAGAGCGCTCACAGTGGCATTAATGGGTAAGGAGTGGAAAAACCGTTTACTGCTCCATGTGACCTGAGGTGACCTCCCTGCTGTGTGCGACACCACTCCGATCCCACTGCCCGCTTTGGCCACAATACCAGCAACTAATAATCTTATTGTTGTTCTGTAATTGACTCGCCCCTTCATGAGCTAAAGCAGCTGTGGAGTTAGTGACAGAGGTCCGGCGTGGCCGGGGAAGGAGGCATCGTGGATAATGACCGACAATAAACAGCAAGTAACCTCATCCGCCACTTCCTTTGGATCAACACCGCTGGAATCTGCCAGAGGATGAAAGTGATGAAAGGAGACGTTTTTCAGCCTTGTTAACCATGCAACTAGCTGGAGAGCAGCAAATTAAAAGATGAAGATAACAAAGTAGCAATTAGTTACCAAATCATGGGCAATATTCTCTCATTGCCAAGAACTGCAGATTTACCAGTCTTAGAAGAAAGAAGGTCACGATGTTCATTTAAAGACACAATCCACAAGACATGTCCAAACCCAAAACAGAAATGTCATACATTGCAGCATACAAGATGTGTTATCTGCATTCCTTTTCTTTTTTCCTGATTTTTTTCCCTTTATTCTCACATGGTGATCCAGCCAGTAACACACTTCCTGTCCTAGGGTGACAATGGTCACTCACTGCACTGTATCTATGAATTAGCAGTGTTGTCGCCCTGGGCTGCTCTCCTGATTTGGACATCAAACACCTCCCACTCTTCTCATCTCATCATATTGCAGACAAAGACATTGTAGGCAATTCTGCTCTTAAGTTAACAGTTTGGTGAAGACCCTTTTCTGTTCCACCATGACTGTCCCCTGTGTACAAAGCCAGCTCCATAAAGACATGGTGTGACCAGTTTGGTGTGGAGGAACCCGAGTGTCCTGCATAGATCCCTGACCTCAACCCTGGTGAACACCAAGCCAGGTCTTCTCATCCAACATCATACTGACCTCAAATATGGGCACAAATTCCCACAAACATCTCCAAAATCTTGTGGAAAGTCTTCCCAGAAGAGTAGAGGATGGTATAGGTTCAAGAGGAATGGGAGCAAGCTTCATAAAGCCATGGTATGACCAATTTGGTGTGGAGAAATCTGAGTGTCCTGCACAGAACCCTGACCTCAACCCTACTGAACACCTTTACAAGCCAGGTCTACTCATCCAACATCAGACCTGACCTCAATCCTACCGAACATCTTTCCAAGCCAGGTCTACTCATCCAACATCAGACCTGACCTCAATCCTACCGAACATCTTTCCAAGCCAGGTCAACTCATCCAACATCAGACCTGACCTCAATCCTACCGAACATCTTTCCAAGCCAGGTCTATTCATCCAACATCAGACCTGTACTCAACCCTACTGAACATCTTTCCAAGCCAGGTCTACTCATCCAACATCAGACCTGACCTCAATCCTACCGAACACTGGCTGTCTGGCAGGATCAAGCAGTAAGAAAATGAATGCAGCCCCCACATTTAAGATCTGGTAAGCTGCGGTTAATGACGTTTTTCTTCTTGGGTGTAGATACATTTTAACTTATAGGAAGGTCTGTCTTTTTTTTGCGGTGGGGTAACAATTGTATCTACATTATCTTCTAACCGACTACTCTACGTGAACCAATATCCCGATTTTTGAAGGAGGCGGAGCTCTTCTTTTGACGAGTGAGGTGCCAGCAATTTATTTAACAGATGTCACATTTAGCTGCCGGTCGCCGAATGCTCCCACTATGCGACTCTCCGACGTGTCGTCGTCCGCTCCTGCCAGATAAGTAAAGATTTGGGCACCGGGAACAATTCTAGGCGGATGTGCGGGAGGGCGGCCAGAGAACGGTGCGCGGAATGTTCTACGGGGCATTCCATTCCAGAGACTTTATTTATAAAAGGCCATTCAGAGGTCAGAAGAAGAGAGAAGGCTTCGTTCTTTCACTGAAGGATTTCTGAGGCACTAAAATGTAAACCGAGTTAACATTTTGTACCTTTAAAAAAAAAACAAAAAACCTCTTTTATTCCACTTTGAGTTTAAATCTTCCTTTAGGAGGTTGGAGCTCTGCTTCCTATATAAAATATAAAACTAACAGTCCGCCTGTCAGGCTGCATATCCATGATTTTTGTTTCTTCAGCAATAACACACAGATCGGATTAGATTTTGATGAGCTGCGAGATGTTATGGAAATACTTCTCGGTAATGGCTGTGCTTAGCTTTATGTCATGTGAAGTACCAGATCCGAGAGGAGTTTTGGCGAATATGTAACTTCTCGGACTGTCACCTTAAAGGAGCATGTGATTATCAAACTGTTCTGACTGTAATTTGCCACCATGTATCAGAATTGCATCACTGTGAGGGCAGAAGAAAAATATATATGTGCAGTACATCTCCATGCAATGCATTTCCCCATGTTTTGTGTCTTTAAAGCCAAACTCTGGGATAAGAAAATATTGTCCTCATACAAGAGTGCTGGGTATTCTTCTTGAATCTTGCTGAGCTTTGTGTCTTTCTTCCAGATCTGTGCAGTAATCCAGCGTGAGACTTGGAGCTTCCTGTAATAAAGACCGGTCACTGCTCATCTCTCTCCTTGTGCAGGGTGACTGGTCTAGTCTCCTCCCCCTCCTGTAATAAAGACCGGTCACTGCTGCTCTCTCTCCTTGTGCAGGGTGACTGGTCTTGTCCATGCCCCCTACTGCTGCTCTTTCTCCTTGTGCAGGGTGACTGGTCTTGACTCCGCCCCCTCCTGTAATAAAGACCGGTCACTGCTGCTCTCTCTCCTTGTGCAGGGTGACTGGTCTTGTCTCCGCCCCTCCTGTAATAAAGACCGGTCACTGACGCTCTCTCTTCTTGTGCAGGGTGACTGGTCTTGTCCCCGCCCCTTCCTGTAATAAGCTACTACCATTACAACTTAGGGAGAAGGTACACTTTGACATCTTTGCCTTGGGTGCTAGAAGACCTTGTCCCAGCACTGAGGTTCCCTTCTCTTAATGCAGTGTGGCAGGGAAGGGTATACAGACAAAAATTCCATCCCCTGAAAAGACACAATTCACACTAAGTGAGGTTGTGTGGCTGAAAGTAAATCTAATCACATCGACAATCTATTGCCAGATCTTCTAATGATCGGTTCTTCACACGCTTGCACTTGTAACTCCGATTTTTTTAGTATTCTTTATTCTGACGATTGTTCCTCGAGGGCTAAAACCCAACCTAATCTGGATGCACATGGATTGAATCAATCGCCGGCTTCTCTTTTCTCTAGGGACCTCCAGCTGTGGGTTCTGGGAGTAACTGCGGGCCTTGCAAAAGCCATTTGAGGGTCTCTCACTCCTTTTGCTGAATATTTGAAGGAGGCAAACAGAAAATGGTTGCAGCGACCGCATCATTGCCGCTGTCTGAATACAATAGCCGGCAGGATTTTTTTTTTCCATGGACGATGAATGGGGGGATATATTAGACTGGGAGAAATCTATGTATGTATGTCTAGGAACCCCAAGCTGGCCAGAAACACATACAGGAACTATAACATAACCAATGAAATCACTGAAAAAAAGTAGCCGGCAAGTGACATAACTTGATAAGTTACTAATGAAGCTCTAACACAGGGTTCAGCACAAGCACAGTACTGACGGGCAGTCACATCACAAACAGAGATGACCAGGACAGCTTTGCTTTATAAGCAATACACACGTACATACATGCAAGAGGACACACGCAGACAGACGGTACCTGTTATGTCATCGGGAGATGCGCAGTCGCTGTCGGAAGGGGCGAATTTCAGGTTTTCGTTGCAGCCACTGGTCACAGACAGGCTCTGTGATATCACTAGATCTAGCATTTCCTTGCACCTGTAAAAGACAAAAAAAAACAAAAAACAAAGATAACTAATTTATTCCGGCGAACGCGCCTAAAGATAATTTCCTGCGCCACATAAATATTAAAACGCGCCAACCTAAATCTCATTCTGTATTTAAATTTCATTAAAAGGAAAAAAAAACCAATAACATTCGCTAAACTTCTTCCACATAAGAGAAAGCGGGATTTTAAATGAAAAACAAGCTCCTCGGGGATGCGGAAAACACGCCGGCAGCATAAATTAGGGAAAACGTTACATTTGCTGACAAGTTTTACAGGGAAACGAGCGGAATTGAAACAACAAAACGGAACGGGAGATCCCTTGATCTGACCGCACTTGGGGCGGTCAGACATGGACCGCAGATATGGCCTCGTGGTGCTGTCGTCTCAGAGTGTGTTCAATCATTGGGGCTCATTCACATTCTGTAACAAAGCAGCCTTGTCAATGCTGAACTTCAGGCGCACGGCTAAACACACAGATGAAATACAGATATTCTGTTTTACCTGCCCATGGCTTTGTATATCTGTCCACCCAGTCCTGAGATCTACACAGCTCTGCCAGGCAGGACAGCCAGGAAGAAGACAGTGCTCTCTCGGTTACATTTATAGGGGGGATACAGTGGTTTCCTGTCTCCACACCCAGCCTGTAGATTGGACAGTGGATGAACAGAAGGCTGATGAGCTCATCTCTCCAGAAACTAACCTAATACAAAATGCACTTTTGGCATCCTGCCCATGTCACTGGTTGGCAGGAACTGGATTGGATGCCCTGACAGGCGTCCCACAGAGCTCCTAACAACCAGTGACATCACCGGTTGCCAGGAACTTGTCTGGATGCCAGCCAGAGTGAAAAAAAGTCAGCCTGTCTCTGTGGGCCGGCAAACTGACCCATGAAGCAGCCCCCTTCAAGTGGCGCCCAGGGCATGTGCCATATGTGCATTGCCCTGTATACAGCACTGCATCTCTCTCCTCCTATGCTGCTTGCACTGCACTACTCCTGAATAGCTCCTTGCTTCTTCATCTCCCAGCCTGCTATACTTCAAGAGGCTGATAACGGGTCAAATTCAGGTACTTCCACCTCTTGCAATACAAAAACACAAAAAGTTGCAATAATCTGTCTTTTATATCTGCCTGCTTTTATAAATGCCTCCTGTGTTCACTGTAACCTGTGTGTTTGTATAGTTTGTGAATGATAAATGGTGTAGCCTGTGACATAGGATTTTCTTGTTCCATTGGTGAATCAGGTCCAGTGAATCCTCTTCGGATTAAAGATGTGTATTTTATCTCTGCGGGGAAGCTAATTGTATCTAACAGCGCTGATATTTTCTGTCAGCATCCATCAGGTAGTTCAGCATGAGAACAGCAAAGTCAGAACATCCAGACACTAAAAGTAACAATCACTTGGACAATGACACATAACAAGTGTAACATTTCTGGATGAGATCAGCCGAATAACATTTATTTCTGTTAATGGCGAGAGCGATATAATATAATTTTAAAAAAAGCAAAAAGCGAAGGATAAGCAGAATTGGGTTCATAGTGCGTAATACTGACCTAATGTGATACAAATGAGGGACACAATGCCCCTTTCTCCCTGTTCCAGACGTTTTAATAGATAACATGAAAAATCTGCACTTAATTAGCGTGTAAACGAAACAAGACAACAAGAATCAGCGCTGGGCCGGCTGCGGTGGCACATACACATTGCAGATTCCGAGCCATTTGCTAGGCCTGTCGTCACTCGGATTCCCCCGAGGCGTCGGCGATGGTGGGGGAAGCAGGACGGGTATAAAAGCCGGTGTCAGGGAGCGGAACTCAGGGGATGACAGCTGGAGGTGGAAGCAAAAAGGAGGGGGGGGGCACTTCAAAGGCTCCATGCTCTGCAAATGGATGAAAAGCAGATGGAACCCCCAGCCAGGGGCTCCGGAGACCACCACAATCACCAGAACGCCAAAGTGACTCTGCGGAGTACACCTCAACCACTGGAGGCTGATACAACCTGTCTGCCAGGAGATGGGGACCCACTGGGCCAATTTATGGGTCATGCTCTGCTTCAGCACCATAGCTCATAGATAGTAGAAGAGCACATGCATGACATAGCCGGGCTGCAGGAACAGAGGTTTACAGGGCACAGATCCATAATGCAATGATAGGAGAGTTTCTTTGTTGTTTAACCCCTTCATGACTGAGGCCCTTTTTTCAATTTTTGCACCCATGTTATATTCCACATTTTAGGCCTGAAAATGACGTAAAACAGGAAACTTGAACATGGAAAACAGCGGAGAGCAAGAAGCAGAGAGCGACAGGGAGAGGGAGAGAGGAAGAGAGAGAGGAGGGGGAGAAGGAAGAAGAGAGAGAGAGGAGGAGGAGAAGGAAGAAGAGAGAGAGAGAGCTGGAGGAGAAGGAAGAAGAGAGAGAGAGAGAGAGAGAGAGAGAGAGGAGGAGGTGGAGAAGGAAGAAGAGAGAGAGGGAGGAAAGGAGAAAGAGAGAGGGAGGAAAGGAGAAAGAGAGAGGGAGGAAAGGAGAAAGAGAGAGGGAGGAAAGCAGAGAGAGAGGGAGGAAAGGAGAAAGAGAGAGGGAGGAAAGGAGAAAGAGAGAGGGAGGAAAGGAGAAAGAGAGAGGGAGGAAAGGAGAAAGAGAGAGGGAGGAAAGGAGAAAGAGAGAGGGAGGAAAGCAGAAAGAGAGAGGGAGGAAAGGAGAAAGAGAGAGGGAGGAAAGGAGAAAGAGAGAGGGAGGAAAGGAGAAAGAGAGAGGGAGGAAAGGAGAAAGAGAGAGGGAGGAAAGGAGAAAGAGAGAGGGAGGAAAGGAGAAAGAGAGAGGGAGGAAAGGAGAAAGAGAGAGGGAGGAAAGGAGAAAGAGAGAGGGAGGAAAGGAGAAAGAGAGAGGGAGGAAAGGAGAAAGAGAGAGGGAGGAAAGGAGAAAGAGAGAGGGAGGAAAGGAGAAAGAGAGAGGGAGGAAAGGAGAAAGAGAGAGGGAGGAAAGGAGAAAGAGAGAGGGAGGAAAGGAGAAAGAGAGAGGGAGGAAAGGAGAAAGAGAGAGGGAGGAAAGGAGAAAGAGAGAGGGAGGAAAGGAGAAAGAGAGAGGGAGGAAAGGAGAAAGAGAGAGGGAGGAAAGGAGAAAGAGAGAGGGAGGAAAGGAGAAAGAGAGAGGGAGGAAAGGAGAAAGAGAGAGGGAGGAAAGGAGAAAGAGAGAGGGAGGAAAGGAGAAAGAGAGAGGGAGGAAAGGAGAAAGAGAGAGGGAGGAAAGGAGAAAGAGAGAGGGAGGAAAGGAGAAAGAGAGAGGGAGGAAAGGAGAAAGAGAGAGGGAGGAAAGGAGAAAGAGAGAGGGAGGAAAGCAGAGAGAGAGGGAGGAAAGGAGAAAGAGAGAGGGAGGAAAGGAGAAAGAGAGAGGGAGGAAAGGAGAAAGAGAGAGGGAGGAAAGGAGAAATAGAGAAGAGGAGCTCAAATGCCTTGGCAGCTAAAATATATTTGGTCCTGCCAATGAAGCTTATTTGAATTTGAGAGTGAGGAGAGAGAGGATACAGGGAAGGAGAGAGAAAGAGAGAGAGAGAAGAAAGAGAATAGAGAAGAGGAGCTCAAATGCCTTGGCAGCTAAAATATATTTGGTCCTGCCAATGAAGCTTATTTGAATTTGAGAGTGAGGAGAGAGAGGATACAGGGAAGGAGAGAGAAAGAGAGAGAGAGAAGAAAGAGAAAGGATACAGGGAGAGAGAAAGAGAGAGAAGAAAGAGAGAGGAAACAGGGAGGGAGAGAGAAAGAGAGAGGAAACAGGGAGGGAGAGAGAGAGAGAGAGAGAGAGAGAGAGGAAACAGGGAGGGAGAGAGAAAGGAGAGAGAGAGGGAGCAAGCTCTGGATTGAGATTTGGTGACGTCACTACTGCTCTGCTCATTGTTCTCCAAGCTGGAGGATCTGACATGAGGAAGTAAAGCCCTGCCTCTACCAAGATGGCCGCCTCCACACAGAGGCAGAAGAAAGTGCAGTAATGGGGAAGGGAGCCCACAGGCAATACTGGTTTGTCCTCTGCTTGCCTTATTTTTGGACACAGCTTCGAGAGTTCCGTTCTTCTTTAAAGACTTTGTCAATATGCTGGCAAAAATCCAATTAAATTTCCAGGGAAAAATGAATCATTTTCAGACTTGAAAGATTCCATAGATCTGCTCTGTCCCTCTTTTGGAACGTATTCCCCCTGCTTCTCTCATCTCCTCAACATTTTAGTTTGATATATAGACCATCTACTCAACTTTACACCCAATGGCTAACTCATTGCATTTGTTGTTTTCTATTGCCGATATAAAGGGGGGGGG